TTGACCTAATTCTCATCCGAGGCTCAGGTCTCAATAAATTTTGGGCCTGACTTGCTGCCAGCGTGGAAAATTATCTTCCTGGCTGCCGCCACCTCCTACCTTCTGTCAATTTTGCTTGTTTTCGTGGAAGCTTTGATCTTTGACTATAGACTTCTGCAAAAGCCCGAAAGCTCAGAAAAATAAACAAATTGATCCGGTGCTCGACAACCCTTCTTCCTCATTTATGCAAATACCTGGAGCGCGAACTTTTTCATTCATACTTAAATAACTTCTATATACAAAACAAAACTAAGTAAACTTAGCAACTCTAACTAAACTAAAAGATAAATTGCAGTAAAAGTTAAATTAAACTAATAAATTAAATAGTTAATTTAAACCTAAACTCTACTAATATCACCTTTCCTGCAAGGCACAATTATGGTGCTACGGGTATCTAAGAGGGTAGACCAACGGTATTGTTACCTATTATGAAAGCGTATCCGAGATAGTAGACAGAGTTGAGTCTCTTCGTTGAACTTTGTGTTCACTTCAACCTCGGTACATTCGCAGTATCAATCGAATGGATAATGCTTTCTTAGAGCTAATCTAATCTAGTCTATCAAATTGGCTGAAATGATGGACAAATCCAGCAATGTGCGAGTTCTGTTAAGGTTATAATTGCGACAATAACAAACAACTAATCTTGAGCCCACACCATGCACGCGAAGTATAAAATAGAAGACACAATTCTATAAGATTTCTTTAACAAATTAGCCGAAATCCAAAGGACTTATTTGAGCGGAAATTCTCGAGGGAAGTGACAATCGTGTGGGCCGAGAATTACTTGAGTCATAGTTCACGGGCCCCCAGTCTATAAAGAAGTGCAACGATCTGCCCAATTCATACTCGGTGGTGCGGCTCAATTTGGCCAAAATAAGTCGTCGCTTGGGGACGCACAGGCTAGCGCGTCGTCTAAGGCCAGCATCGGGGAGCCAGATGGCCGAGCAATCATCACGTTCAATTTCACGACGTGTGATGAAAGTTCAGCAGCACGCCAGCCCTCAAGCAATTAGCACAGAAATGGGCAATTATCCACGAGAGGGAAGTTCTTAATGGTCATAAGTGTGCAGTAGTGATTGGTTCCTACAAAAAACCTCTAGCTCACTATGCATACCTTAGCGGCTTCTGCTAGTATACGTGCCGACTGATTTTGAAAAATCAATGATAAAAATGCATACTATTTAAGTAGCCAATTTTTACAGAATCAACTTTTTCGCAGCGATCAGAAAGAAGCTAATCACAGAGTCGGCATCCTAGCATGACTGAAAATAATTAAAATTGGACTGCATGATAAACAGTATTGCAACCCTACTCAATGTTGATTTGCGAGTGAATACCGGTCTTTTTCAAATTGCGAAATGTTGCTTGCAGCACTCGCCATACTGTACTATGCATTTTCATCATTGATTTTGACTGCCTTGATAAATTAAGAATATACGTCGTGGAAAATATCCGCGAAAAAATTCTTTCCTGTTTTTGTTTGGTAGCAAGTTATGCCTTCCTTAAATTTTATACTTAAATTAAGGGTAAACACGTTTTCAAATTGCCGATTAATTTCGAATTCTACGGATTTCTACACTTAAATTCAAGATTTACACACTACGCGCTGTGTACATCCTATTCAAGGAAAGGTTCCTTTTTCCCCGGGTTTGAGGAAGGGGTCACACTTCTCAGAAAATGCTGTAATAGATGTGGACCATGCTACATACATCTTAGGCAGCATTAAGAAATTTCCGGATACGATGTACTAGGTATGGACACCTCAAAATCATTAAAATTTCATAATTAGGAAGTTTTGTAAAACCGAAGGATACCTTTTCTTCAAAGATTAAAATTTAAAGAAGGCGTAATTTTCTACCAAACAAAAACAAGAAAGACTTTTTTTGTGCATATTTTCCATAAAATATATTTTTTGTTTAGGAATGGCAGTCGAAATTAATGATAAAAATGCATGCTATTTAAGTAGCCACCTTTTACAGTATATACGTTTCGCTAGCGGTCAGAAGGAAGCTCGTTAAAAAGCCGGCATCATATCCTGACCGAAATGACTTTAGAATGGACTCTGAGATAACCAGTATTACAGCCTTACTTAATGCCGATTAGCATGTGAGTATCAATCTTTAGCCGGCATGTTGCACGAATTCTGGGCCGTACTGTTAGTTCCCTTCGTGATAGCAAGCGCAGTGCCTCTTAGAGTGAGGCTGGCGGAAGCCTAGGTTGTCCGTATCGAGACAAAAAATGTCCTTATAGTATTTTTTATCTCCCCGATGGGTGGTGAGGTGGTGCTCCAAGAAACAATGATAAAAATAAATTTTGAGAAGAAGACGGTGCGATGGCAGTAGCAAGAAGTTTTCTGCCGTGGTTGATACACCCTCCAACACATCATTAGCGGCTGACGATCGTCTGCTGTCTTCTGTGAATAAAGGTTCGGG